ACACCATATTATATGTACAATAATGACACCATGATGATGTTACATTATAACATCACTATGATCTGGTTAACGCTGCACTGCTTGTGTGCTTCCCCCCCCCCCCCCCCCCAGCTCAGTTATGACTGCCAAGACAATCACAGGAAAACGGTCTCTACTATTTCCTGAAGCCTGCAGACTTCCCACAGACCAGCTGGTACCCACTGGTCTGCTACTGGTCCCTCACACCAGGACTACTGTCCTATGGCTGACTGTCATCCTCTCTCTCCCTCCCCCCTTTCTCTCTCTCTCTCTCTCTCTCTCTCTCAGGCTGCTGTGAAGAGCAGTCGTCGTCTCACATGTAAGTGAGGCCTGTCCGACGATGCCGCCGCTACTGCTGGCGCTGGCAGTAGTCATTTGGTCTCCCGCGGAGCCGGGGAACCCGGGCCGCCGTCTGTTCAACTACAGCAGCCTGGCTCTGCCGCCGGAGCACATACCCTACTTCCTACGCAACAACCAGAGAGTCGCCCAGCTCTGCCACCAGGACCCACTCTGTCCTTTTAAAGTAAGATACAAGCCATTTCTCTTTGTGTGTGTGTGTGTGTGTGTGTGTGTGTGTGTGTGGGGCTGTGTGGCCGTGTGTGTGTGTCACTTATGTTATGAACATTATTAATAAACAGCAGGAGTGTTTACAACACTACGATGGTACTACGGAAACAGAGACATGTGATGACTGTTTTAGGGAATGTGTCCACTGAGCTTCCTGTCTGCTGTATTATTTCCCTCCTATTATTGGTACTTGGTAAGCCTTGTGAATAAACTAGTGCTCATTGAAATATTTTACTTGTTCATTCATTTGTATGAATGGAAAGCCTGTCTCATGTCCTCCCAGGATGCACTGGGGGATTTGTCAGCCTGTTGGGGCTACGAGGAGAACTGCGCTCCCGATAAGCGCTTCGGTTACCCTGTGTGCTCCAAGGCTGATGTCAGATGGTACGTTTCCCAGCAAAATCATTGTTTTTGCTTTATTGCTTTTTGAACTGAGTGAAATGGGGGAGGGGGAGGGGGAGGGGGAGGAGGGGCGTTTTGCCGTCTTCTGAAGCATAGGATTGACAGCGGGCCAGTGGCGCAATGGATAACGCGTCTGACTACGGATCAGAAGATTCTAGGTTCGACTCCTGGCTGGCTCGGTTTTTTTCACTCTTAAATGTATAAATCATTTAAACCTGGCCAAAGAAAACATTCATTATAGTTGAAATATATTGGAAAAAATAAAAATGTAATGAATTAAAATTATAAGAGGTGAAGGGGAAATTCAGGTGATATAATATATATATATTAGTGGTGGGCCGTTATCGGCGTTAACGCGCTGCGATAACGCGAGACTCTTATCGCGCGATAAAAAAATTATCGCTGTTAATCTATTCTCAAAGTTGTGTTGGGAGCTGGGTCTATACCGGATTTCCACCAAGGAAGGTAAGCACCCCCCCCCCCCCGCCCCCCCCCCCCCCCCCCGATTGTTGACCGGAGGGGGAGAGGTGCGCGATTGTTGACGGGGGGTGATTGTTGACGGGGGGGTGCACGATTGTTGACCGGGGGGGGGAGAGGTGCGCAATTGTCGACGGGGGGGGGGGCAGTAATGACACCGTGAATATATATTTTAAATATATATTTTTTAAGAGGCCCCTGATTGGCTGAGGCCTCGGGCTGAAGCCCAGGTAAGCCCGTGCATTAAGGCGCCACTGCCCAGACCTACGACCGAGGGGGGGGGGTCGCCGGGCAGAGGACGCAGCCGTTCCGCAGCGCAGCCGTTCCGCGGCGCTTACCTTCCTTGGTGGAAATCCGGTATAGACCCAGCTCCCAACCCAACTTTGAGAATAGATTAACGGTGATAATTTTTTTCTCGCGTTATCGCAGCGCGTTAACGCCGATAACGGCCCATATATATATATATAGATATATATATATATATATATATATATATATCATTATACAATAATGGTCAATGATGATTTCTGCACCTATGTGTGTGTGCTTCAGTGTGTGTTGTGGACCCCCTGCAGGGCTCCGTCGGTGCCGGCGGCCCAGGATCTGTTCTGGAAGCAGGCAGACTTTGGTTACGTCAAGGAGCGCCTTTCTGAGATGAAGACTCTCTGCTCAGACAGCCAGCCTGTGAGTCCTCTAACACACAGAAACACACACAGTAACACACGGGAGGCAGCAGTGACGCACACAGTAACACACAGGAGTCAGCAGTAACACACACACAGTAACACACACAGTAGCACACAGGAGTCAGCAGGAACATGCACAGTAACACACACAGTAACACAGATGTTTAGAATACACATGGAGGAGTTGTATTGACGAGAATGTATAACACATTTAGTATACATAGTATGAAGGCTGCGTATGTCGGGAATAAACCACAACAAGCTGTCCTGTTATTGGAAAATAATGTACAACTATAATAATGTTGTAAATTATTTCCCATAATGGGACACCCATGATCATTGTATTTGACCGTTGTTTTTAATGTTGGATTTGTAGCGCATTGATTCAAAACTGTTGAAAGGTACTCAACAATCCTGTGGTATAATGGACCATATTTTCAAGATAAGAGGTTGGTGTGAGAAACACCGGGCCTCATACTTAAGATAAAGCTGTGTTTTTAATTGTAGGGGGATTCATCATTAAGGTGCAGCAGCCACGCTCGGTTCTGTCAGGCCACCAACCTTTACTTGGACCTGCGGAGGCCGCGCCGAGGTCACGAAAGGTCAGGTCACAGCAGCCTTATATTGACATTGGTGAAGACCAGGGGCCTCATTTATAAAACTCTGCGTGAAACCCTCCCTAGAACAGTGCGTACGCCCAAACCTCAGAATGTGCGTATGCACAAAAACATTCCGATTTATAAAACCTTGCTGCGCACACCTGTACGCACTCTTCTCGTTATAAATACCAACGTGCGTCTAATTTGGCGTGCGTGCACGAGCGCTCTGCTCCTCCCAAGTCCATCCCTTAATAGTCCTTAAAAGGTCAATGCTAATTAATCACTTAATATTTATAAGTAGGAAGGAGCCTTTTCTGACCAATCATTAGACGGAAAAATGGATGCACCTTTTAAAAAGAAAGCGTGTTTTTCGGATTCGGAGATCGAAGTGCTTCTAAATGAAGTAGACCAACGCAAGTCTATTTTGTTCGGTTCCCTTGGTTCAGGGGTAACAAACAAAAATAAACAATTGCATTTGCAATTTTTCGCTCGTTAGAATACAGAGGCAATCAGGGCATTATTTATAGGCCTTGCATTAGCGATAGGCCAATAGGGGTATTCATTTCAAATGCCCATAGGTTTATTGAATGTAGGCTTATTTATCAAGCTAATTAATTAAACGTTTAAGTGACACAGTTGGTCTGGCCGAGGATTGTGATTTGAAAGGGCTGTAGTGTGTTGAACATAATTTTGCTTTAATTCATATTTCATAATGGGTGCTTTTCATAAAATAAATATATAAATGAATAAATAACTCCGAAGTCATTATGTGGTGCGCAATGTGCGTTGGGTCCGCAATGAGCTCCGGGGGTTACAGCATCTTCTTCTTCTTTTGGCGTTATTGGCGGTTTGCAAACATATATAGTGCATTACCGCCACCTTCTTCCTGTGGTCGTCTCCGGAGTTCACTGTTTGAAAAACTTTGCGGGAGCTTTACTCCAGGGTGAAAGGATGCGTATAACTGCGCACTCTTTTCCGCAAGGTTTTTTTTAAATAAATCACGACGTTGGTGGTGAAAGATGCGTACGCACATTTCATCCCTGTTTCCGCAAGATTTTCACCTTTATAACCTTTACCTTTATAAATGAGGCCCCAGGAGAGTTTACAGCAAAGTGTTTTTTGTGTATTCCTGTGTGAACCACCTGGTGTTTGTCTAAGGAGGTATACATATGCAGGTATAAGGAGGACTTTATCCAGCATGGAGAGCTCGGAGGGCGATGCAAACTGAGCAGGGCATCGCTAGTGGCTGAAGGAGATCACAAGAGTCCTCTACAGTCTTGGTAATGCAAGATACACGACACACTGTTCATATGCGGCTCAAAAGTCTGGTAGAAAGACACAGCAATAACTGATCAAAACTGATGTAACTAAAACTTTAAAAGTCAAAGCTTTCATTGCCAGACCATCATGAAGACAGTTCTATGACTTTTCACCAATCTATAAATGAAAGAAGGTCCAAGGTAGCATACTTTTATATTATGGTTTGCTTCAGTCATGTATTGAAAAGAGAGTTAAAAATCGATATGGACAACTTTCTGGAATTCAGCTCAAATGATTTCACATCGTCATGTCAAATTCCTTCATGATATTTTATTTTTTATAGAGAGAATTCAAAACTCGATGTCTGCTGACTTTGGTGATTCAACTTCCCATTGAACATTTAGACGACAGTGGCTGGTATTGGATTTGGTTGCACATCGGTCATAAAGGTGAGTTCCCTGACCGGGAATCGAACCCGGGCCGCGGCGGTGAGAGCGCCGAATCCTAACCACTAGACCACCAGGGAGCTGCTAGAATATATCAATAAAACATGATTGGGAATGTGCAACTATATGGTGATAGTATATGTTGTCAACTTGTAGACTAGCCCCCCCCCGTCGGCGGTAATACCGCATATCGCGCTGTTGAGCCACCTAATTCACCGCAGGGAAAAATTCCTTCACAGCGACAGCCCTATGGGGAGTTTACAATCCTTGGAGAGAAGTTATTTTCTGGAATGTGTGACATGCCTGACAACTGACCAGACAGGACTGTGATGGCCTTCTCCTTGTGACCTGGAATACAGTGGATGTGTAGGACTGTTCAACTTGGTAGATTAAAGAGGATAGTTAACGTATCTTGCATGTATTTCTACTGACACATTTGCTGACGCAGTTTCTTGAGTTAGGTTACGCTCATGTTTCATTGAGCTTTTGAACTCATCAATTTAAATGTCCTTAATACTTTTTGCACAAAGACACATAAATAGGTGTTCCCTGACCAGGATTCAACCTGGGCCGTGGCAGTGAGGGCGCCGAATCCTAACCACTAGACCACCAAGGAGCTGTATTGAGGGGCACCCCGGGGTGTGATGTAGAATTAGCGAGATGTAGGACAGTATTATCAGTAATTACATGGTCAGAGTTAATGACTGCCAGCTACAGTGTGTCAGGTATTACAGAGTCAAGTTCCTTTAAATGATTTTTGAATATGGTTGGTTACAGAACCATTTTTTAATTGTAATTGAATACTGACTATACGGAAGTAATTGTGGAGACATAAAGGTGAGTTCCCTGACCGGGAATCGAACCCGGGCCGCGGCGGTGAGAGCGCCGAATCCTAACCACTAGACCACCAGGGAGCTGGTATGTGGCAGAACCATGTGACCTGGAATTGGCGGGTTGTAAGACAGTGGTTGGGTCTTTTGGGGTCTAATTTGACAGCTACTGTGTGGTAGTTCATTTTGTCAGGTTGTGGACTGAGCAATGCATATATACTATACATCTCCTAGCGTTAATCCAGGAAAAAATGGATTTTATCATTATTAGGTCAGATGCTTTTATGTCAAAGTGGGTTTCACTGATTCAATTCCGAAGATCAAAAACAATCAATTTTGAATTTGATTCAAACAGAATTTAATGAATGAAGTTCCTTTATGTGATATTGTAATTTGGTTCTTTTTGAGAATTGATTTCAATTGTAATTTTGTGTTTAGATTACTGAAACCATTAGGCATGTATTTTAGATTTTTGTGAACTGAATCTATGGAAGCCTGCTTGGACAAGGAGGCATAAAGACTAGTTCCCTGACCGGGAATCGGACCCGGGCCGCGGTGGTGAGAGCACCGAATCCTAACCACTAGACCACCAGGGACCTCCATGTCGCTCAACCATGTGACCTAGAGTAAGCGGGATGTAGGACGTTCGTTTGTTCTTGTATTGGTCAGTGTAACTGAGTGGCAGCTACAGTGTGGTACTTAGTATAACGTTTGTTAGACCACCAGCTTACAATTCTTGTAGAGAAGTTATTTTCTGGGATGTGTGACATGCCTGACAGCTGGCCAGACAAGACAATGTGATGTAATGCTGTGTGTCAAAATAGGGGGCCCTCTTCTTGCACTGTAGACCCCATGTGACCTGGAATACAGTGGATGTGTAGGACTGTTCAACTTGGTAGATTAAAGAGAATAGTTAACATATCTTGCATGTATTTCTGCAAACACATTTGCTGACTCAGTTTCTTGAATTAGGTTACGCTCATGTTTCATTGAGCTTTTGAACTCATCAATTTAAATGTCCTTTCAGATAGATTTCACGGGACAATACTTTTTGCACAAAGACACATAAATAGGTGTTCCCTGACCGGGATTCAACCTGGGCTGTGGCAGTGAGGGCGCCGAATCCTAACCACTAGACCACCAAGGAGCTGTATTGAGGGGCACCCCGGGGTGTGATGTAGAATTGGCGTGACGTAGGACAGTATTATCAGTAATTACATGGTCAGAGTTAATGACTGCCAGCTGCAGTGTGTCAGGTATTACAGAGTCAAGTTCCTTTAAATGATTTTTGAATATGGTTGGTTACAGAACCATGTTTTAATTGCATACTGACTATATGGAAGTAATTGTGGAGAAGGAGACATAAAGGTGAGTTCCCTGACCGGGAATCGAACCCGGGCCGCGGCGGTGAGAGCGCCGAATCCTAACCACTAGACCACCAGGGAGCTGATATGTGGCAGAAACGTGACCTGGAATTGGCATGTTGTAGGACAGTGGTTGGGTCTTTTGGGGTCTAATTTGACAGCTACTGTGTGGTAGTTCATGTTGTCATGTTGTGGACTGAGCAATGCATATATACTATACATCTCCTAGCGTTAATCCAGGAAAAAATGGATTTTATCATTATTAGGTCAGATGCTTTTATGTCAAAGTGGGTTTCACTGATTCAATTCCGAAGATCAAAAACAATCAATTTTGAATTTGATTCAAACAGAATTTAATGAATGAAGTTCCTTTATGTGATATTGTAATTTGGTTCTTTTTGAGAATTGATTTCAATTGTAATTTTGTGTTTAGATTACTGAAACCATTAGGCATGTATTTTAGATTTTTGTGAACTGAATCTATGGAAGCCTGCTTGGACAAGGAGGCATAAAGACTAGTTCCCTGACCGGGAATCGGACCCGGGCCGCGGTGGTGAGAGCGCCGAATCCTAACCACTAGACCACCAGGGACCTCAATGTCGCTCAACCATGTGACCTAGAGTAGGCGGGATGTAGGACATTTGTTTGTTCTTGTATTGGTCTGTGTAACTGAGTGGCAGCTACAGTGTGGTACTTAGTATAACGTTTGTTAGACCACCAGCTTACAATTCTTGTAGAGAAGTTATTTTCTGGGATGTGTGACATGCCTGACAGCTGGCCAGACAAGACAATGTGATGTAATGCTGTGTGTCAAAATAGGGGGCCCTCTCCTTGCACTGTAGACCCCATGTGACCTGGAATACAGTGGATGTGTAGGACTGTTCAACTTGGTAGATTAAAGAGAATAGTTAACATATCTTGCATGTATTTCTGCAAACACATTTGCTGACTCAGTTTCTTGAATTAGGTTACGCTCATGTTTCATTGAGCTTTTGAACTCATCAATTTAAATGTCCTTTCAGATAGATTTCACGGGACAATACTTTTTGCACAAAGACACATAAATAGGTGTTCCCTGACCAGGATTCAACCTGGGCTGTGGCAGTGAGGGCGCCGAATCCTAACCACTAGACCAGCCTTTCTCAAACTTTTTTCAGCCAGGGCACCTTTCAAAAGTGCATAAAATCTCAAGGCACCCCAGTGTAAAATATGATTAAAAACGACACTGCATAGCCTAAACGTAAATGCAAATGTCCTGTTTATTTAGACAGGACAGTAATGAACAGAGCATAATACAACTGTAAATATTAATAATAATAACAACTTCATAGCAACTTTATAGCACCTTTAAAAACACAGGTTTACAAAGTGCTTCACAAAACAATAAATCAGAGACACAAATGCCATAAAACCATAAGAGGTGGACCGCCCAAGCTATACAGCAACACAGGCAATACAAGAACCCAACAAATTGAGACCAGCAGAACTCAAATGAAGTGCAGAGATAGCAGGAATGTTTTTCCATCATAGTGCTTGTTTCCATCCGTGCCATACGCGCACGCACACACACACACCCCCCCCCCCCCCCCACACACACACACACACACACACACACACGCAAACAATAATCCGCAATGAGAGAGGGAGAGAGAGGTCCACATCCGCACATGCAGCGCGCATACGCACACAAATAAGCCGCAATTGAGAGAGAGAGGGGAGAGAGAGGGGGGTGTGACTAGCAACAGCGCTACTTGAAGCCACTGGATACTCTTTTTCCACTGATATCCAAAACCTGTCCAATTCCATGTCACCAAATCTCATTTTCAATGTGCGGTCTTTTTAAAAAACGATCCATGATGCTTGTTCCTTGCTCTTTGTGAAATGTATTTTCGCGGTTAAATTATAAAACAATGTGCTGTGTGCTGCGCTGTCACGCTGACACCGGTGGGGACGTCACGTTACGTGAGACAGATTTTTATGGTTAATTTTATATATTTGTTTAACTAAAATGACTTTACAATTTTATTAATCCATTCATATGTAAGAAAGAATGTATTTATGTATTCAATATATTCATATATGTCATATATGAAATGTCAGATTTTTTATTTATTTATTTTTTTAATTAAATGTCAGAATACGTAATTTTTTGGCGGCACCCCTGACACAGTCACGGGGCACCCCAGGGTGCCGCGGCACCCACTTTGAGAAAGGCTGCACTAGACCACCAAGGAGCTGTATTGAGGGGCACCCCGGGGTGTGATGTAGAATTGGCGTGACGTAGGACAGTATTATCAGTAATTACATGGTCAGAGTTAATGACTGCCAGCTACAGTGTGTCAGGTATTACAGAGTCAAGTTCCTTTAAATGATTTTTGAATATGGTTGGTTACAGAACCATGTTTTAATTGCATACTGACTATATGGAAGTAATTGTGGAGAAGGAGACATAAAGGTGAGTTCCCTGACCGGGAATCGAACCCGGGCCGCGGCGGTGAGAGCGCCGAATCCTAACCACTAGACCACCAGGGAGCTGATATGTGGCAGAAACATGTGACCTGGAATTGGCATGTTGTAGGACAGTGGTTGGGTCTTTTGGGGTCTAATTTGACAGCTACTGTGTGGTAGTTCATGTTGTCATGTTGTGGACTGAGCAATGCATATATACTATACATCTCCTAGCGTTAATCCAGGAAAAAATTGATTTGATCATTATTAGGTCAGATGCTATTATGTCATAGTGGGTTTCACTGATTCAATTCCGAAGATCAAAAACAATCAATTTTGAATTTCATTAAAACAGAATTTAACGAATGAAGTTCCTTTATGTGATAATGGAATTTGGTTGTTTTTGAGAATTGATTTCAATTGTAATTTTGTGTTTAGATTACTGAAACCATTAGGCATGTATTTTAGATTTTTGTGAACTGAATCTATGGAAGCCTGCTTGGACAAGGAGGCAAAAAGACTAGTTCCCTGACCGGGAATCGAACCCGGGCCGCGGCGGTGAGAGCGCCGAATCCTAACCACTAGACCACCAGGGACCTGCATGTTGCTCAACCATGTGACCTAGAGTAAGCGGGATGTAGGACGTTCGTTTGTTCTTGTATTGGTCAGTGTAACTGAGTGGCAGCTACAGTGTGGTACTTAGTATAACATTTGTTAGACCACCAGCTTACAATTCTTGTAGAAAAGTTATTTTCTGGAATGTGTGACATGCCTGACAGCTGGCCAGACAAGACAATGTGATGTAATGCTGTGTGTCAAAATAGGGGGCCTTCTCCTTGCACTGTAGATCAGATGTGACCTGGAATACAGTGGATGTGTAGGACTGTTCAACTTGGCAGATTAAAGAGGATAGTTAACATGTCTCACATGTATTTCTACAAACATATTTGCTGACTCAGTTTTTTAAAATTAGG